TTCGCCCAGTTTTATTGCTTTTTTGAACATTTCTCAGCTGCGCACTCCTACCTTTCTATCTCCCGCCTTTCTATCTTCTTCCTTCAGTCCGGCCTAATTCGTCGTGCAACTCGGTAATCTGCGTGATATCCGCGACATTCGATGATGAAAATAAGAAACTAACTTCTTCCCTTCAGATGCATAGCGCAGTGTTGAAGTTCTGCTTCGAGTTTCCGAATGATTTGGAAATTTGAACGCGATCATTAGCGTTCAATACAGAAGTGAGTACCTAGCGAGCGCTTAGCGATCGTTGTCTGCGATTGGATGTGATTGGAGCGCGCTACAATCCTTGATCCGGATTCAGAAGAATACAGCAATCAGGTACGATAATTATCGAACGCTGATTTCTATCGAATACAGTCAATCGATTTTACGATAACGCAACTTACGTAAAGAAAATTACAAACGAATGTATGAGTGAAAGAGCGTGAGAGGTCGTATTTCAAACGCAAAGTTTCGGGCATGAAGATGGAAGTGCGCCGCCATTTTGGATAAAGTACAGTTTCCCACGAAGCCCCAGTTAATTTATCGTATTTTATCTCCGGCCTGTCGCACTCCCCACGCCCATGGACCCAAGATGGCCGACCATGTATCCATGGAAACACTCTCTTCCTGCATCACCCTGCTGGAATCCTGCGGCAAGAAGGGGTGAGTAAAAAGCGTGCGTCCGCCACGTCAACCAAAGAGGGGTGGTTGCCGGATAACGAAGAGATATGAGTGGACATATTCCCCCCCCCCTTCAGCCCTCCACTTTACCCATCGGACGGGCCATCTAATCTACGGATGTCATCTTCCTAGCTGTGGGGACAACGATGAGACGATGAGAGACGGTTATTACACGCTCGAGAATTTGCAATCCAATGCGGTTTACGCGGTCGTAAAGGGACGTGAGACTCTTGGCCCGTTCTTTTCTTAATCTGCCGGAATCGTATGCGACGGAAAACCGCCATGCGATATCGTAAACGCGGATCGTCAATAAGTTTCCCTCTCCGGGACCGGAGGTTACCGGTGATGGTGTAAACAGTGGCCTGAAATGGCGGTGCTAAAATTATAAATTAACAACCGTGCGGTGCGCTGACACGTTTCGCCGATATGCACGTTTGCTAGTTACGAGATACTTGCCGTTTGCAAATAACGTGCGAATGCGCAGTCAGCTTGCGTAGTCGGCGGTGAAGGGCGCGACACGTTTCTTTTCGATGCGCTCGGCACGACAGACGAAAGATCGCGAGGACGAACATGAGATCGTCGCCGGTTCTGAAATTCGCTAAATTGACGATTCTGGGCCAAACTTTTGTTACCGTCGAGTATGCACACACTAAATTTCACACTTATTAAACCAAAACTCACTAGCCTTTCTAAACGTTCACATCGTGCCTGAATGCGTGTTATATTATGTTATAATCGTTGATTATTCGGCCAACTGTTGTTTTGATAACTTAACATATTATATATTACATCATATTGTGCATTATCATATCCAAACACGAGGCAATTGGAAAAAATTCGTGAGTTTTGGTCTGTTAAGTATTCAAGTTTTATTGAAATGTATTCTTAATGTACGTGTACAATCGAAAACGGAATAATCGCTTCGCGTAAATCTGTCTTATGTAGTAAAAAATCGAATAAAAAGTTTCTAATCAGCATAGATAGGAAGACTGATTGTGTCATAGTTAGAAGCGATATGAAATTTTGCTCGTCTTATTACTTTCAAATTTTACTCGTCACATTTTATTAAACGAACGTGTTCAAATAAACAATTATTTTACTACATTTCTGTTACACGTCATAAATATTACTCATTATGAAACGAGATTTGTATATATTTTTCAATATAAAATGAATAAAGAAAAAAACTAAACTAGTCACATAAATTTCTCGATCTTCTAATTTCAAATCCGGACTCTTCTAAGTCGAACTTTAAACTTTTTTTATAAAAAATAATTTCTATATTTACCTCCCTTTTATATATGTTATTTCATCGATGCGAAACTAATACTGCGGAACTTACACAATAAAATCAAGGATACATATTTGGTATGTAAAAATATATATATGTATACGAAGAGGCAAAGATAACGTTATTAACACTTTCGCTATCAGCGTCATTACAAAGCCGCTGCGCGGATGATTTAGTGCGATATAAAAAATATATATTTAATTTCAAAGTAGCACACGTTAAAAGATGGAAAATCGTTACGAATTCCAATTTCCAAACGTTTCAATCCTCATTTGGGTTCTCTTTAATAGTAACGTAAACGTTAGTGTCACGAGTATAAGAAACATAAACAGTCGTTCGTCATCGTCAAAGCAAGAAAAGAAAGTGTTTTGTCTAATTGAAAGCTCGCGATAAGCAGAATATAATGCTCTGGAGATAACATATTAGACGCGTTTAAAAGAAACAATCGCTAAGAGTGAAACGAACCATGGCTATTTGATACCGAAAATTTTCTCACGTTAAGAAATAAAATTTTTTTCTTACACCGTAGGCATGTTGATAGTTCGGCTGGCAAAGAATGAATAATTAAAAATTATAATAATACGCATAATATAAAGTAATCTGATGCATAAGCGCATCAAATTGTGTGATGTTACAGAAAATGAATTATAAAAAGCAGCGTTACCTGGAATATGTTTTTATCGAGAAATATATTAATATTTTATCTTTTAACTTCGATTTATGCTGTTAATCTTTTTTAAATAAATGGTTATATATTTTTGCCGAGATAATTTTTTTATCCTGAGTTATATCAGTGTTTCGTACGTACGGTTAACAGCTAGTTTGCCGGGCGAAAGATACTGGACGGCGGCCTCTGTAAAACATATTATTAGGTACGACCGGGGGGTTACGTTATGGCCTCAGCGCCAATGCGGAGTAAGTCTCGGGAGGGTTGCTACCGGGGGCCAAATGCCTAGCTGCAGCTTGTAAAAACGCTTCTTCGACCAATAGCAACGGGTTGCGACGCTCCCCTAACATATGGGGGAGCACCCCTTCGCTCCCAACTTTCAGTCGTACCGCGGATAATGGCGAACGTTCTGCAGCTGATATTCTTCTACGACCTCCATCAAATGTTAAGCTATCGTAAATTAATCTCGTAAAAAAAAAAAGGATAGAATGGGAAGGGCTTCTGTGTAATTTTTAACTATTTTACCCGCTTAAATACGTGCTATAAAGAAAAAAAAAAAAATATATATATATATATAATTTAGTGGTGAGAAGATATACTACTTCGAAAATTATACGTTATAAGATGAACAAAAATACTGTATGACATATGGAAGAATTTCAAATATGTTACGTTATATTATGATTATATATTAACTTTTCCGATAGTATTATACAGAGATGCTAAAAGTAAAGTTTGAGAGCATTTGTTCTTACATGACAATCACAGATGTCTTTGTATAAAAAGTCACGTATTATAAATCTTTTTATTAATTTGTGCAAAAATTTCTATATATCATAAAATTGTTACGCCCGTGTCTTGATACCCGCGCGCTTTTAACGCTCTGAACGTACAGCTGATTCTCTTGGCAACGAGTCGTAAACAACAGATGATCAGCGTTGACGGATAAACAACGGGTTTGAGAGATTCTCTCCGGGGTGGTCGAGTCGTGACGTGCGCGACGGTCTTTAACGAAAGAGAGAGCTTGAGTCTGCGAGTTACGCGTGCTTCCTTGTAAATAGCATATACAGTTGAAGTTGTTTTCCTTTTCACGTTGTCTCGTTTTATTTCCCCGCGCGAGCGTAACAATATGATTTCACCGAAACCGTTTATTTGCACTTTTCACAAGTTCACGCTAGAGAAGAAAATTCATGATCACCTGAACTGCATTCCAAAATCCTACTCGAAAAGTAGCATCAATTAATTAATCATAATAAAAAACCTTTGTCCATTTCGTCTTGATTGGCCAATTAAATGCTATTCTACTCGTTGAGCCGCGTATTGAAACTCAGCCTTAGGAGTATATCATGAATTTTCTCTTCTAATGTAAACTCGTGAAAATGTAAATTTTCTACTTTCAAAATATTTGCAATTTTCACTTTTAATGTTTCTGCTTAGGAGAAAATTTACATGACCAATATCCTGAGAAAATTTAAAAATGCGAACAATAGATTTCAGATAAAGGAATAATATCGACATTATCGACCATTTCTAGTCATCCGATAGGCCCACCTGAACATTAGAATACAAGTCGGTGGATAATTGCCGATTGTCGATAAACGGATTCTTTCATTTACTATTTTAATGTACAACAATTCGATATTCAACGAAAAAACTAATAGCACCTGCACACAAAACGCGGAAATGCTTGCTGCGCGATTAGAAGAAACGCGTCAGCCAATAAACTTTTGGTTCTCCTGGAAAAACGGCGTGTTGATTGGCTACCGCGTCGCTTCCTGCACGGCACGCGTTTCCGCGTTCTGTGTGCAGGAGCCATTAGTTCATACTCGTATTGTATAAAAAATAATACAAAACGATGTTTAATGAGTAAATGATGTTTAAGGAGTAAATTATAATATCGCAAATAAATTACTAAAAATGCACTCGGAACGCAATATTCCTAGTACGTTACTAGGATGCGCTGCAAACGCTTCGGAGAGCTTAAAGGAGGAATATGATTGGCCCATACGGAACTTCGAGGCGTTTGCAGTGTGAAATGGACCTTAGCCTTGATTGCACGTAATTCAATATAAATACACGTGCTAAATGTCGTTGACTTGAATACATCGTCTATTTATAGTTGCGTATTTATTATGTTATTACAGTCGATTTCTCGCGCATTCAGCCATGTTCAACAACTCGCTTCACCACATTAAGGATGCGTTCGGGAAATGCGCCAACAGAGCTGAAACATCATTCTATCTTTATCGCTCATTGGATGTGAAACAAGAATAGAAATGACACTTTGGCGACAGAATGACGATCACAATTCCTGAACGCATCCATACTGAACTGAAGCAATCATGTCGGACTCGGATTATTTTCAACAAGCAACTGTCAATATAAAATTACCACCTTAATTACCCTACCAACCCCAATTCCAATAGACCATTCGATATTCCTCTGTCTTAAACCGAGTACGCATCACGACCAACCAAATGAACGAGAAAGTGCCAATGTGAATAAGGCCCCAAACTTTCTGCAGCGATATATAACGAGAAAGCGAAGGAGGATTCAGACTGCAGTGACACTCCACAAGTTACAGGTCGATGACGATCACTTGTGAATAATAATTCCAACAATGATACTTTCACGAGGGTTGAATTTATTAAAAGTCACCTATAAAACCAGTCAAAATAAAGTTGCTGCGACGAACCTGCAATCTGTTAGATTTAATAGCGGGTAAGCGAAATTGTTATGTAATTCTACGTTATATCAGGTTATGTTTGAATGTTGTTTTCGGTTAGTCAAACTGTGTTAAGTAAAAATAGGCGTAAAACTGATATGTATTCGCTTAAGGGCAGTCGTCAGATTCTATATTGCATATAATTATTTATAACAAGCTATGCTGTTTACAGTTTTCACACGATTCATATAAAAGTGTAGATATAGGTAAAGATATTTCTTCTGATTCTTGATTCGTTAGGAGAGGAACGTAACGGAAGGTTAATTACCTTTACATTATTTTTAATAATTTATTAATATACCTTTGTATTACTAGGGATGATTGGGTATATCGTGCAAGCCCACCGGTAGAAAAGAATTGGTTGTATGTGGCGGAAGCTTTCGGAGGTCTCTTGTGGTGGTGGATATTATGGCATTTTTGGCACGATTATGACCACTTTTTGGTAAGTATTTGATCATTTAAAATATACTCATTTTATCAGCTTGATATAGCGTTTATATAAATAGAATAGGATGCAAAAATTATATATTCTTTCGTTTAGGAAATAGTACCATATCCAAATCCTGTTAAATGGACAGATGAGGAATTAGGTATACCACCAGACGATTATGAGGAGACGCAAATTGAATAGTATAAAAAGATTACAAAACGGTGTGTATATATATATATGTAGAGAGAGAGAGTGAGAGAAAGAGAGAAAATATTACAATTATGTGTTCCAAGACAAACTTGTAAAGTTTGATTAATTAAAGTGGAATGCAGGTTTATGTAGTCTTTTATAGTTATTTAATGTTTACAAATTAACATTCTGTTACAGGAGTTTGTTACAAAGTTATTAGTAAGTAATAAAAATGTGAGAATTGTGGGTAACATGCCATTTGGAGGCATCATATATATTCGAATATTAATTTCCGTTTATCAAACGAAAATCAATTTGCAATCTTAATGTTAATTGTTTTAATCTCGAGATATTCCTTTAAACCTTCTTCACCCCTAGAAAAGAAAAAGATACAATGAGTTAAAATATGTCATGATAAATTATGTAAAAATATTTTTAATCGTTCAAAATATCGGTTAAAAGAAATTTAAGTATAAAATTATTTATACCAAAACCTCTGCATAATAAATTAACACTGTAACTATCATACTTGACAACATAATTATAAATTTAGCTGATAGAATTATAAGACTTCAAACATTTCAATTATTTTAAATTGACTACTTTTTGTATCAGACACACAATTATATTACTTCGATTGCTCAAATTAGTCTAATTTTTTTTTTTTCAAAAAAATCTCACTTACAATTCCCGTCCCATGCCAGATTGTTTAAATCCACCAAATGGTGATTGAGGTGAAATAACATCGTAACAATTCACCCTGGAAATTATTATTATTAGTATATATAAGATTAATATTATATATATATATCGCTAAATTTGTCGAACTTACCAAACACTACCTGCTTCCACAGCTTGAGCGAATGTCAAAGCTTTATTAATATCCTTAGTGATTATACCAGAAGCAAGTCCGTAATTAGTGCGATTCGCACGATCGATTACTTCATCCATAGTGTCAAACTTTAAAATCGATTGGACCGGTCCAAAAATTTCTTCTTTAGCAATTCTCATGTCATCAGTTACGTTCGAGAAGACCGTAGGTTTTACGAAAAAGCCAACAGTACCCTTGCGTTCTCCGCCAGTTTCCACAACAGCGCCCTGTTGTTTGCCGGAAGTGATTAAGCCCATTACTTTGTCAAACATATCTTGATCGACCTGTGGGCCTTGTTCTATTTTAGAATCGAATGGGTCTCCTACTTTTCTATCGAGTGCCAATTGCTTGGCATGTTTCACAAACTCGTCGTATATCTTTGAATGCACGAATGTACGCGACCCTGCGCAACAATTTTGCCCGTGGTTGCTAAACAACGCTTCGTGCGCGATTTTCGCAGCTTCTTCCACTGAAAGTATTAATAATATGATTATCAATTAAAATATAACACAATTAATCGTTGATTAACGTATATGATTTAGTTAAATCGCGAGTTAGCTCTTTTTTACATCAACGTACCATCAACATCGTCAAAAATGATGAGCGGACTCTTGCCACCTAATTCGAGGCTGACACGCTTAAGATTACTTTTAGCAGCGGCTGCCATTACGATCTGTCCGACCTGGGAGAGATTCATATCACAATTATTTCGACCCATTGATTTCATAATTAAGCGTTTAACATATATGTGCAAATACCTCGGTGGATCCGGTAAAAGCGACTTTGCGGATATCCGGGTGTTCGGAAATAGCTGCACCAGCAGTTGGACCGTAACCTGGGATGACATTTACAACACCTGCCGGTATTCCTGCCTCCTTAGCAAGAGCAGCCGCATAAAGTGCAGTCAATGGTGTTTGTTCTGCCGGTTTTAAGATAATAGTACATCCAGTAGCTAATGCAGGGCCCCATTTCCAAGAAAGCATCATGAAGGGATAATTCCAAGGGATAATTTGTCCAACAACACCGATCGGTTCTTTTCGAGTCATTGTAAAGTTGTCGGCATCTGGTCAAACAGTAAACGAATCTTCTATATATTGTCATATATATTAATATACAGATGTATACCCATGTATTAATATACAGAGCCGTTTAATTTTAGAAGCCTAAATATATAAAAAATAAAACAAAATCGAATGAAATGTTCCGGACAGAAGTTGTTATGTTACTCGATTTCTTTAAATTTAGCACAAACACGAACGTTCACGCTATGTACAGAGTGTTTAATATCCTGGCTTCTATTCCTCTTCTCTCCTGTCACCACAGCCGTCACGGAAATTAGTAGTGTGGTGTAACGTAATTATTGAATGACTCCGCAAATGTATAAATATATGTGCAAAAAATATGTATATATATAAAAAAAAATAATCTAACCATCATAATAGACATGCTATCTCGATATCTCATAAAGGATATCTATAAATAATCTATAAATTATCTATACATTAGTATATACGTGGATATACTAATAATAATAATTGATGATAATTTTAAATAGATGGTTACCTGACGGTATAGTAGTTCCGACTATTTTATCACACCATCCTGCATAATAACGTAAAAAGGCGACACTTGCATATATATCATCGACGGCATTCTTATAGGTCTTTCCATTATCGAGAGTCTCGAGAGTCGCGATATAATCCAAGTCACGTTCGATAAGATCTGCGAACTATTTTATTTATTTGTTTTTTAGCACCTATAGTTGGTTATCATTACGTTATCAATAACCCAATTTATTACAGTCAAACTCTACCTTGTGAATAAGTTGTCCACGAGCATATGGACTCATCTTACGCCATTCTGACTTTCTGTCAAATGCCCGTTTGGCGGCTTCTACCGCCTTGTCTACGTCAGCCTGAAAAGAAATTTATTCTTTCACAAATGACTATAATTTAACTTATTCTGTGTTTAAGTTAATTTTCTCTTATTATTTAACGATACGCGTAATTAAGTATAAAGAGCTAACTCTATATGCAGAAATACACTATTAGACAAATATTTGCATCTTAATCTAGTGCACGTAATCAAAAATTTAGATAAGATAACTTCTACGCTGCATCTGGTCGGTTATTCGACATTTGCTGCAAATGAATTAATGTTTTATTCTTGCGTTCATACGCAATATAGCGTTGTCACTGTAATATAAACAATTTTACCTTATCTCCTTCTGAAATTTCGGCGATGACTTCGCCATTGGCAGGGTTTATTGTAGAAAATTTACGGCCGCTCACAGAATCCACAAATTCATTGTTGATAAAAAGCTATGGAGAAATATTTCACATATTCGATTAAAAGACGACGCGCTATTGTGGATTTAAACGAGAAAAATATTTGAAAACTCAACGAAATGCTAGATATCTTTTGACTTACTTGTGTATATTTAACTTGTACTTGTTTTGCCATCTTAACTCCGGTATATCCTTCCTCGGCAACGGTCAACGAGTAAGTAGTTCGATTTTGGTGAGTTTATTCGACTATACACCGTCGCTAGTATCGTGGTGATTTATATTTGGCTCGTGATAGAAACCGTTATCGTTCTGCGTATCCTTTCCTGCGGCATGTAAGAGATTAACTGATATCTCAACAAGAAGTGTTATCGTTGAAATTTGCTTAATAAACAATGACGTAGTAACATTTTATATACAGATATTCAAAACTTTTACTCTATCTAGCAGCTAATTCTATAATTAATATAAATAGTTATATTATTAATATAATATAATAGTAATAATATTAATATAAATTAATATAAATATAATATAAATAGTATTAATTCTAAATAGTTTTGTTTTGCTTGCACACCAGAAAATTATACAAATGCCGTATCGTGTCGACTTTCATGAGTCTTTTACAACACTTCTTCTGTTTAGTTTATACGCCAGTTTATTTTGTATGTGTTTATCACGATATCGGGTATGTGTTTAGCACGATATCTATGTCGTTACGCAGCTATTTTGCAAGAGAGGGAAGATAGTACAGTTTTATTCTACAATATCTTGTTTGTTATTCCACAATTTTTTTAGTTTTGAAATAAACTTATTTGTTTCTTTTCCTACTGTACATTTTATATTTGGAATATATTCACTTTTGAAATAAATAATCTTCCAATCCGTAAAAAAACCATAAACTAAATAACTGTAACATATTAAGCGCCTTAGCACTGTAGCATATTAACACTTATTAAGCGCCAGAACGTATACCATTCTCGGTACACGTAACGTGAATTGAAAGTAACGTAAAAATGATTCGGCAGAGGACGTGATAGAGATAATAATAATTTAATAATAATAACATTTCTGCATAGTAATTTCTATGCAGAAATAACCTAAATAACATTAAGATGTCCTAAGACGCCGGTGTAGCAAAATTATACGTTATCCTGCTGATATTGACGCAAAGGACAACATTATTTTTGTAAATTGTATCTACTATTTTTCTAAGGAAGTAGAGATTTTCTTCTATTACATACGGTAATTTTTATCGTGATGTATAATAAAAGATCTATAATAAACGTATAAAGCTTATTTGCAAGTATGATATTTTGCGAAACACATAACTCATGCGAAGTTAGTCGTTTGCGTAACTCTTTTATTGAAAGTAACATCATTTCCTGGCGAAAAAAATGGAATTGGTTAATTCGGTGGCATGATTCCGTCCTTCGGGAGAGAGTGGCGATTCGTTCCCATGCCGCGTATATTAAATCGATAAAACAGGTTTCCTAAGCACATACGTTCGGACGGAAGAATTTAAATTTAAGGAACCTACACATTACATTAAGTGCAAATACGCAGCTGAACCGTGTTTTTTAGACATGCGAAATATTTAACATGTTTAATGTGAATGATTAACATATTTTGACAATCCAAATTGTGGAACGCTAATACGCAACATTTCTTTCGCAACGTATCTGTTCTTATCTCCTTCCTGTGGTTATTTGCACCAAGAGATGTCTGGTACTTCGAGCCAACATGATTATCCGGCAGTCTCACGATACATTTCGCAACAAAAAATCGAGGTGAGCTCCTCGTGTCATCTTCAATTATTACACGTGAAACCGCTAATTCTTTTTTAACTGCACATTTCGTTATTTTCTTTGACTCTGAAAATATTAGGTTTCTTGCTATCATCTATAAAAATACTTGGTCTCATAAGCAATAAGATATTTGACAAAGAATAAATTAATAATTAATTCCTGATCTCACGTTGCACCGTCCTTGTTTAATGGCGTCAGAAGCAAAAAAAATTTAGGCCGAGAACTCTTGCGTTATACATTTAAAGAAAAAGGTACGGAATAAAACGGGGTAATGACGGTCACTTAAGTGGAAGCTCTCATAAAACTGATGAGAAATGTCGAATTTAGGGCATGAATAAATGTATCGACAAATGTATCGTCTTACTACGTTTCTCCAATGACGATCTTTACATCAGAAAACGACCCTTCGCAATGACTCAGCCGTGAATAATATTAAAGATCTGTTCTCATTCAAAAAACTTTCTAAACTGGTGTACACTGGTGCACTGAGAGTAAAACAAATATAGGATCTGTTTTCTGTTGCTGTACTGGCTATACTAGCATTAGTTCTCTTCTTCTCTTTTTCCTGAAATTTGGTGAGAAAGAGATGAAAATAGAACCGGTTTACGTTAGTGGAACCAGTATAGCAATAGAAAGCAGACCCATAGTCGGTCTCACTCTTAACTTAATGCACCCATGTACACCAGTTCAGGTAGTTCTTCGAAAAAGAGTAGACCTTCAGGTAGCGGTGTTTTGTCTCATGCTTCCTTCAGTCCTCCACAGAGGACGGAAATTACGGAAGTTACAGAATTCAATTCGTATCGACCACAGTCGAAAATATAGAGTTGACTGGCATTACCCACTTATTACTCCCTTTTCTCCTGTCTAAAGCGACATTTATGATCGATTTAGCAAGCTTTTAAAATTATCCGTAAAATTATCCGCGAACATTTTTCTTTTATTCAAATATTCAATAAATTGACATGGAATGGAATCCTTCTCAATCTCTTTCCTAATAACTTTGTCAGTTAATTTTACGACTATTTATCGATTGTTTGAATAAAAAAAGTGTCAGGATAATTTTACAAATATACTAAAACAATCACACATGTCATTTTGTGAATACATCTTTCTACTTGGACGTATAACGCGAGAAATTTTAGTATGCGTTTTCTCGCATTTGACGATTTCAAAAATGAAAGCCCAAGAGCCGTAAACCAAATAACGTTTGCGTAAATATTTGTAAAAAAGATTGCACTATTCATCGCACTCATTACACGTATAATCTTCACTTGTCTTCGTGCATGAATTTTGAGATAGGAAGCACAACCATGCCTAGAACACGGTGGTGGTGACGTTGGGAAACCATCGTCCCTTTCCTTTCCACAAGCCGAGGATGAATGTTCACCAAAAGCCGAACAAACGATACCATCAATTGACCCATGGGCTCCGGGCAGAGTAACTTGTTCACTTAAAGGTGGGATTACAGGACTTCGACCTGTTAAGAATCAATATTCCATAGTCCTCTCTGGGCCGAGCCAGTGGCAGGCGCACAATTTGAATATTTTCCAACAATCGGACGAGAAAATCTCCGATGCTCAGTGAGTGATGCGACAGGGATGCGATGTGTTTTCGACAGGATGAGATTAAATTTCTTCAAACGACCCTTAGAATCACGGCCGACCGTGCGAGGCGATGCGTGGAACAATCTTACAAAGCCGCCGATCAAACGCAACTAGAGACAACAGATTGTTTGAAAACACGCGCTAACCTGGTGCACCGTTACAAGACGGAACTGGAGCATGCGATTGTTGCCACTACCGAAGAAATAGGACTGTTGGAGGCTGAACGTCGTCGTGTACAGCAATCTCTATCCGTACTGACCGTACCTACATCTATCGCGGGCGAGTTTCTGCAGTTACGCTGTTCCCGCTTAGAATCGGATCTCGTACGTGATGCTGTCGAGGATCAACTCGTCCAGGTTGATTTAAAATTCAGCATATTCATGCATCTTAAATAAGCGGTAAATCAATGCCGCTTATTTACGACAAATCTCGTTATTCCTCCCTCTCTTTCTAATTTGCTTTGCAGGAAGTGACGCTTTGCGCCGAAGTACGGGATTTACTGAACAGAACTCTCGAGCAAATCAAGCTGCGGATGATCGAACTGAAGACGGTCAAAGCGAGTTTGGAAAACGATTGGTCCGATAAGACAGACACTTACAATATAGAATCCGTTTGCGTCAATTTATCGAACGATTCTTCACAGATAATGTGGAGAGCCGGATCTACGAGATTTCCGGCTGTGTAAGTCATTTATATCACTTCGCGTCACACGCATCAGACTGATGAGAAAATATCACGAAAAAATAGCATTCGTAACGTAAAATAAAAATTAATAATAAGAATAAATTGACTGACCGGTATAATTATTTTTATTTCGGAATAATATTACTACGTTATTTCTCCCGATCGGACTCCTTATCTACACACTAAGTGTTTATATTATTGCTATTTTTTCCTACCTTCCTTTTTCCTTCGCATCAGTCAATCAACGCCTACAAGTCACGAACACTTCACGCAAGAAGGTTTGAACGCCAGTGAGACTGCCAGGAAAAAGTCGGCTGATCTGAGATCAAATTTAAATAAAATATACATTGAGTCTATTAAAAGTCTGCGCGACCAAGCAACTCGCGTTGACGTTGCGCTCGAGGAAAAAGTGAAACTTACGCAAGACGTTCTTCGGCAATTGGAGGTTGAATTACTTCGCGTAAGATTTGTTCATACAATCGCATGCACAAGAGAAGATCAAGGAGATGAAATTCTATAAGGAATATATCTGTTTTCAGTGCTTGCAGGAACTGGCGAACACGGAGAAACTGATCGAAGAACTTCGGGGCTCGACAAAAGGATTGAATAATGCCATGAAATTAGCACAAACCAGACTGGACAATAGACTGTTACGGCGCAGTGTTGAAAACTGCCGGGATATACCTCAATTCACGTACGTTGCTTGAGCATAAATTAACTCTAGTTATGTAATAGATTTTCAACAAAACGTTAACGAACGCGAATGACAAAAAAAGGCATTTTTTCTTTGCTTAGACTTATCGAAGAAGTAAAATCTCTCGGCGAACGTATCTCCGCTGTGTTGGAGGAGTTAAAACGCGCCGAGAAGTCTCATGCAGAACTGATCGAAACAAGAAGCATTCTGGAACACGAAATAATAGTGAAACGGAAGACTTTATACATAGACAAGGAACAAGGCTTACTATTGCGTTCACGTTATCCTTCTGCCGTAGCCTTATCAGGATATTAATATATTGCATATGCAATGTAGCATCTGACGGTAATTATTTAAAAACTCAGTATCTCAGTAAATATTGTCCCTCATCTTTATCTACCTTTAGAATGTCATTTGAATAAAAATATATATTTTACAAGTTGTATGTAAATTAATAATATTCTATAATTTTTCGCATTAAGTAAAAAATGACATTCTGCTTTATACGGTTCAAGTAATTTAAACGTTTTTGGAAACTTAAACGACTGAGTTACAACTAACATTTTCAAACAAGAAAAAAATGAAATATGGGATTATCGGAACATTAATTTTTAACTTACCTTGCAAAATATAAGATAGAATAAATGATACAAAGATGGGATTAATTAAAATCAATATTTAAGGTAGTTGTTTTTTTTATTAGTAACGGTAACAGAATGTTTAAAGAATACTGATAAAACAATATTTTAATGGTGTTTCAATAATGATCAGTTGTAATTTTAATGAGGCTTTAATAATGTTTTAATAATCAAATAGAGAAAATATACACGGTTAGACAGGCTTCAACAAGGACAACATGGAATTCAGTTAAATGTATAAACACATGACTCTGTTAAATATCCAATCAAATCATGAAGATAGGAGTAGAAGATTATCAAAAAGTAAATAAATAAGCAATGCAGTGGTAGTTCCAGCAACATGCGCCAGTATAGGAACTCTAGTCAGGTTTTACATTTCCATGTAGTATACATTTCCATGTAGCTTACATTTCCATGTAGTTTACATTTCCATGTAGTGTTCCCTTTCTTTTCTACAAAACGCAACCAGAATAAGTCAATCAAATTCAGAATCAAAGCAAGAAGTAATAATGCCTCTTGAAAACATTCAAGCTTTCTATTAATACATTACAAACCTTTTATTCTAATACTTTCTTAATTTGATGTACCGTTGATACGACGTTTCTGAAAAAAAAAGCATTTTATCTTACACAACAATATACCGTCAAAGATAAATTAGACATTTTAATGTTTTATATTAGCAAAACCAAAAAATTCTGTCACATTATCATTGCTCCAAATTTTATCTGGATGTATTGCAAGCTCTGTCCTTCTTTATCCTTTACATGGTATTCAAAAATAACGTATATAATCAAGTAACGTAATCAAGATAAATATATGTTTTTACTGCGTATTTCGTACTTGTTTCTATTTTTCTCTTCACAAGTATCTACCATTTTATTTTAAGCGCAGAAAATACATGACGATGTAGCTACAAGAAGTACAAACTATTCTGGCACTAAACCAGATAAATTAACTAGAGCCGACCTTACTTGCTAAATCTACTTCTGATTGCGTTTTCTGATTGGCAATATGCTGGCACATTATGCCTCGTCTGACGTCAGTATTGAGTGTTCCAGGCCGTCACCAACCAGTACGCAGTGTTCAGACAACGAACCAATCAGCGTGCAAATAAGTAGAAACGACTGTGTGAATGAATCATGCACCGTGTGAGGCTAACTTTAGGCAAACGTAGTGTATAAAGTCTTTAGTTCATACACGTATTACATAAAAATGAAACAAAATGAAGGTTACTGAGTAAACGGTTAGTTTATTATAACATAGCTGATAAATTACAAAAAATGTAGCATTTACCACATAGTATTCCTGGTATCCATTGTATTGCGATACAATATTTTATGTTGTAATGAAAATGTGAAAATTGGGGTAATATGTCATTTTGAGACATTATATATATTCGAATATTAATTTTTGTTTATAATCAAATATTAATTTGCAATTTTAATGTTAATTGTTTTGATCTCCAGATATTCCTCCAAAGCTTCTTTACCGCTAGAAAAAGAAAGATACAATGAGTTCAATAATATCTTGGTAAATTGACTCAACTTAAAATTAATTAAACTTAAAAGAATTTTTTAATTATTTAAAACGCCAGTTAAAAGAAAGATTTGTTAAGCACAAGAAATATTTATACTAAAATCTCTGTCTTATGAATTAACATCGTAACTATACATTACAATATAATTATAAATTTAACTGATGAATTATAACATTTATAATATTTTATTAAGGAATTATAAAATTTCAGGCGTATCAATTATTTTAAGTTGATTACTTCTTGTATCAGACTCACAATTATATTACTTCGATTACTCAGATTAATATAATTAAAAAAAAAAAACTATTACTTACGATTCCCGTCCTATGCCAGATTGTTTAAATCCACCAAATGGTGCTTGAGGGGAAATAGCATTATAACAATTCACCCTAGAAATTATTATTGTTAATATTAATATATATATATAACACCAATATGATTATATGCATATATCTCGCGAAATTTATCTAACTTACCAAACGGTACCTGATTCCACAGCTTGAGCGAATGTCAAAGCTTTATTAATATCCTTAGTGATTATACCAGAAGCAAGTCCGTAATTAGTGCGATTCGCACGATCGATTACTTCATCCATAGTGTCAAACTTTAAAATCGATTGGACCGGTCCAAAAATTTCTTCTTTAGCAATTCTCATGTCATCAGTTACGTTCGAGAAGACCGTAGGTTTTACGAAAAAGCCAACAGTACCCTTGCGTTCTCCGCCAGTTTCCACAACAGCGCCCTGTTGTTTGCCGGAAGTGATTAAGCCCATTACTTTGTCAAACATGTCTTGATCGATCTGTGGACCTTGTTCGATTTCAGGGTCAAATGGGTCTCCCACTTTTCTATCGAGGGCCAATTGCTTGGCTTGCTTCACAAACTCGTCGTATATTTTTGAATGCACGAATGTACGTGACCCGGCGCAACAAATTTGCCCGTGATTTTCAAACAACGCGCCGTGCGCGATTTTCGCAGCTTCATTCACTGAAAGTATTAATAATATGTTTATAAATTAAAGTTAAATGCAATTAATCGTTGATTATCGTATACGATTTAATAAAAGCGTGAATTCGCTTTTTTACAGCAACGTACCATCAATATCGTCGAAAATGATGAGCGGACTCTTTCCACCTAATTCGAGGCTGACACGCTTAAGATTACTTTTAGCAGCGGCTGCCATTATGATGTGTCCGACCTGGGAGAGATTCATATCACAATTATTTTAACCCATTGATTTCATAATTAAGCGTTTAACATATATGTGCAAATACCTCGGTGGATCCGGTAAAAGCGACTTTGCGGATATCTGGGTGTTCGGAAATAGCTGCACCAGCAGTTGGACCGTAACCTGGGATGACATTTACAACACCTGCCGGTATTCCTGCCTCTTTAGCGAGAGCGGCCGCATAAAGTGCGGTCAAGGGTGTTTGCTCCGCCGGTTTTAAGACAATAGTACATCCGGCAGCTAATGCAGGGCCCCATTTGAAAGCAACCATGAGGAAGGGATAATTCCAAGGGATAATTTGTCCAACAACACCGATCGGTTCTTTTCGAGTCATTGTAAAGTTGTTGGCATCTGGTCAAACAACAAACGAAGCTGCTATATATTATCAAGTATATTACTATATACTGAACACAGAATGAGTCGCTTAATTGTAGAAGTTTAAATATATAGAAAATAAAATAAAAAGAAAGAAACCGGACAAAAGTTGTAGGGTTTAGGGAGAGATATAAGTTGGTGATGTTAATTTTGTTGTATACGCAATAATTCAAGATCAATTTCACTTTTTAACAACGAAGTTAAGATCACCAACTTATGACTCTTTCCAAACCTTTCAACTATTGTTTAGAACTTTTCTAATTTGCTATATTTTTTATATATTTACACTTCTAAATTT